TACAGATTCTGGATGTTTGTCTCCTTGCTCTTCCTCCTCCTCCTCCGAATCATCTAACATGAGAATTTGAAAGTGCTTCATCTTGCAGATATGGTCTTTTCCCCACTTTTCCCCACATTTGAAGCAGAGACCCTTTCTACTCAGCTCCCTCTGTGTTCCCTTCATCCCTGCACCTTTGTTTACTGTCTCGTTGCTTTTCTCCAAGTTAGATTTCTCAGGTCCAGACTGATTGGTGAGGTTATTCTTCCATTTATTCTTATTTAGCCATCTGTGAGATTGGGAAACAACATTCCCCCTCTCTTTCTGCCCTTTCTTTTCATCATCCTTGTACCTGCTAAAATTCAAGGTGTGGTTTCTCTCTTCTACCATCAAGGCTTTATCCATTACATCTGCTAATGTTCTGACATGATTCAACTTCAATTCAGCCTTGATTTCAGCCTTCAGCCCTTTCATAAAAATCCCTTTTAGCATTTTCACATCAGTATGTTTCAAAGGTGTTGTAACCAACTCAAACTCTTCCCTGTACTCCATCACACTCCTCGTCTGCTTAATACTCAGTAGCGGACCATATGGATCATGTACCAATCCAGGTTGAAACCTCTGAATCAAGGCCTCCTTAAACAGTTCCCAACTCCTCACATTTGAATGCTCTTCCCACCACTGAAACCAATTTAATGCCTTACCTTCCATAGCTAGAGTAACTAATTCAACTTTATCCTCTTCAGCTATTCGGTTCATTTTAAAAAACCGCTCAACCTTAATAGTCCATCCATATGCATCATGACCATTAAAAAGTGGTAAATCCACTTTTCTTCCAGATTTCTCAAACCAGCGATTGTAATCATCATCACGCCTAGCCGCCTAGGGGATGGAGATCGATGATTACCTGCACATGATCTGGAGTCGCGACTCCCATGCCGCGCACTGGTTTTGGAGCTCGTTGATCGGCCGCGGGAGTGGCGATCGAGTTTCTTCATCATCATCTCACGGAATTCATCGAGGTAGCGTTTAGCCTCCTCGCTCCTGATTCTGGCCTCTTCGCGAGCCTCCTCGTTCCTGATTCTGGCCTCTTCGCGATGTCTAGCCAGTTCGCGCTCCATATCCGCGGACTGCCTCGCCAACTCGCGCTCCAAATTTTCCAACCTTCCTTCCATTGTTCATCTGGTCGCAACCATAAACAGGTACCACGATCGTTGGGCTCTGATACCAATGATAGGAATCTAACCTGCAGGAGAATAATCCGAGCCACAGATATGGTAGAAAACGAAGATGAACAGTGATAGGGAGGTCGTTTACTAACAAACAAGAGAGAGAAATATGTCTGGCAGATAACAAACAAGTCCCAGCCCAAAATAACCAAAACCAGCCTACCCCTTATTACAATAGTTCAGTATTTATAGTACTCCCTCCTGCAATTCAAAGCTATTTATTATTCCCCTTTTTCCTCCTTGAGTAGACTCGATCATAATAGTCAATGCTATTATTAATAATGGGCTGGCCTCCCGTGTCCCTATCAAAGAGACACTTCTTCAGCTCTTGCACCAAAAAGGAAAAGATTATCTTCCCCAATTTCCTCTTTGATTTCCATATTAGTCCCATCCAGTGTTCTTATGATTAGGCACCCATTGAGTGCAAATTTCATATTGCTAGTCCCATTGGCCTCCATGCCAGATGTACTGATGTGTTGTGAAAGCTTACTTCCCGGGATAAGCATTTGTGCCACTGACACGTTGTTATGGGGTACAAATCCTACCTTCAGATAATTATTGACTTCGGGGTCACTGTTTACAACATCCCCAACATTTGTTACCAGTTTGATGATATGTCTTGCATTTGTATAGGTTGCAAACGCTTTCCCCCCAAACATTACAGTGCGAGCTGTTGTATTCTTACGCTCTTCATGACTCATCTCTTCAGTTTCTTGTAGCGATACACCACACCCAGTATATTGAGAAGCTGCCTTTTGTATTCATGGATGCACTTGATTTGTATATCAAATAGAGTATTCGGGTCAATGCTCACATCGGTTCTCCGCAGTATGTACTGTGCCAAACGCTGCTTGTTCACCATCTTGACCGCTTCCCTTGAACATAGAGTTTTTCATCATCAACAAACTGCTTCAGATTAGCAAGTAAATCAAGATAAGTAACCCACTCATCACTTTTTAACCACTTAGTGATTATATGAGCTCCGGTTTGCAAAACCTTAGCCACCGCCGTGGTGTTATGCCATTGGTTTTGTTTTGGAATTTGGTGGTGCATAAAGAGACGTCAGTGAAAAATTCAGCCTTTAAAATATCACTGTCTCACTGGGTAACACCCTTCATTGTGTGCGAACCACGGGCTTCTCGCGTGTCAGATATCTTACTCTCAAGATAAAGGCTTTTTTATTGTACCACTGTGATGAACCACTTGTCAGTTTCTTGAATGATTTCCATGTCATGGAAGAAGTTTGCACATGACTGCTTGTGACCATTTTTCAAGTGCTTCGAGAAGGACAGTATGATTTGTATAAGCAATCGTCCTTGGGGTTATATCCCATGCATCATCCCCACCTTCTCCTTCGTCATCCATTAATAACCGCATTAGCTCCGAGATTGCAAGTGTTGGATGTGTGTCATACAATTGTACCGCCACTTTTGAGGGGAATGAAGACCAATCAAGGCTACCCTTCCCATCATTACCCTCCTTAAATCTGTATATGATGTCCTGAAGTGACACACTACTTAGCAAAAATTATAAGTCTTAAAAGTTTTCCACTTTCTGTTGCATCGCCGGGATCAAAGACAGCACAAATTTGGTGAGTACTAGAATGAAGTTGTGTAGCCGATTCATATTGACCACTGTTAAATTAAAATAAGTTTATGTCCTTTGCACTAGCTTTGGCCTCCCAAAGTCTAAGACTCTTTGTGTTCTTTGTTTTATAACCAGGAATTGGAACATCATAAACCGCCTGTATGACCTCCCCACTAATCCCCTTCTGGAGCCATTGGGGCCAACATGAACATCAGCAAAAAATTTGACGGAAACACAATGTCATACCTTGCACTTCCCGGGGACTGAATTTCTCAAGCCAATCTTCAGTAACTTCCTCTTTGTCTAGCTTCCGTAATATGTTGCTTGTATAGTCCATACTCGTACCTCAGTCCATACCCCAGGCTAGCAAATCTAGGGTTGCCATGGAATCAAGAAAGCAAGAAGCATGCCTTCCCACTCCACCACTTCCTAGTGCTACATATTTCTCCTGCTCAACAATCTCCTCAAGTCCGCACGCAAATGTCGACGCAGCATCTGGTGACGCCGCTGCCGATGAGGGGGCCCTTCTGTCGTCAGCGGCACAGAGTCTTCATGAGCGAGGTGAACGCAGCGAATGACACTGATATCAGCCAGTTGAACTCGCGCGTCCAGTTTCTGGTTCATCAGGGCTTGTTTGGCCTTTACCATTGTCAAACGCTCCGTGTTCGATCTCGTCATTCCAGCGGGAATGGATCCCACAGGTTGGACCAATTGATGAGAACAGAAAATTAATAATCAACAGTAGAAACCGTTGCCTAGAGCCAATAGGCTGAAATCCAATTTTCTTAATTGATAAGTAAGAATGGAGCCTGATTAACGGTTTAAATACCCATCTACTAATACCAAACTAGGAAGGGAAAAGGTACAAATATACCCTTGTAGTATGGGTGTGAGAGAGAATATACCCTTGTTCTGTTTTTCGGAACAAATATACCCCTGAAGTATGTGTGGAAGTGCATGTATACCCCTGAACTTTAAAAAATGTGCAAAAATACCCCTCATTTTCATATAGAAGAGAAAATTTACCCTTATTGACTTTAAATTGATAAAATAGATTTCAAAAAATATCAAAAATAAAATATAAATTCGAAATTAAAAAATAAAATTTCTTGAACATGTAGTTGTGTCCAATTCTACCTTTTATTATTTTTATATCACAATTTAATATTGTTAGTATAAAATATTATTTCAAAACTTTACTATATATTAAGATTCTTTCGAAAAAGTGTTAACATATGTGTTGTAATGTAACAAAATTATTAATTTTTTGCATTCTTTGCACTATAAAATTACATATTTTGGATGATCATAAATAGTACAAGATTAGAAAATAGTAAAATTAATTTTATTAAGTTTAAACAAAATCAAAGAATGTTATTTCAGAAAATGTAACAATGTGTTCAAAACTTCATAACAAGACTAAAATTAAAATTAATGAATTTGAAGTGCTGCATTTAAAACGGAAAAATAATAATTTTGCAATTTAAAATTAAATAGTTAATATTTTAACATAATAATAAATCTTTATTTTTAAATTTTGAATTTATAATATATTTTTGGTGTTTTTTGAAATTTATTTTATCTATTTAAAGTCAATAATGGTAAATTTGCTACCCTATAAGAACATGAGGGGCATTTTTGTACTTTTTGAAAGTTCAGGGGTATATATGTACTTCAACATATCTTCAGGGGTATATTTGTTCTAAAAAATAGAACAGGGTTATTTTTGTTCCTACACCTATACTACAGGGGCGGCATATTTGTACCTTGTCCCAACTAGGAAACAAAATCATAAAAATCCTAATTAACTCCAAATAGGAAACAAAATCATAGAAATCCTAATTAACTCCAAATAGGAAACAAAATAATAGAAATCCCAATGGAATCAATTAAACGGCCCGCAACTAGCCCACGAAGGTGGGCTCAAGCCCGTCCCTGCTTGCGGTAAACCGGTAGAGGCCTGGGTCTCGGACCCTCCTCTTCTGCCCCGACTGCCCGTCCCGTTCTCTATCATCTTACTAACAAATAATGTAAAAACTTAACTAAATAAATAAGTAATCTAATGAGAACATTGACATAGCCTTAAATAATTTGGTATTCGTGCTCTTGAATAAATTTAGTCCAGCACCCCTGCCCCCATGAATGAAATCTTTACTCCGTCCTTGTAAACACAGAAACCTAGAGGAGGAGGTTAGTTAAGAGTACCATTTGTTGATTTAGAACTTTTTCTACTATTTGGTAGATCATCATCATTTAACTTCGGCCTTGTAGCTTCATCTTGAATTGAATTAATGAGATCATTGTAATCTATTTTTTCTTCAATAATCAACTCTGCGCTGTTCACAAAATGCATTAGAGTGTAAGGATTCATCCTATTTCTTGACTTCTTGTACACAAAAGCACTCACATGGTCTAGCGTCTAGACCATAATAAAGATGATATTCAATAACAAAAGAGGGGGGAACAGAAAGAAGTCAGAATCAGAAGGGGAACTAATACAGGAAAATGAGGAACTCTTAATGTTTATTTTAAAGCATAGATTACATTCTTAAAAAATTAAGTTCCAAGTTACAGTGATACTTCATACCTTTTTGGCTTATAAAAGATTCCACATCCATCACGCTTCTGCCCGCCTCTTTGAACATAAATACTTGAATAGCCAAAAGACTCAATAATTTTCTTATAGAAGCTATCGTACTCATCCAGTTCCTGATACATAAAATCAAATAGAGAGGATTGATAAAGCTAATTACTGATTTTAAATAAGATGTGCAAATTCAGTTAATAAAAAACTGTGTTCCCAAACCTGTAAGCAAAGAAAATCTGACCCTATGCCTTTAAGAACAGTCAAGATTGCTTGAGATCGGGCTTTCCACCTGTTGCAATACTAAGGCTTATATCCATATATAGAGTCAAACTATGATGTTATATAAAGCTGATACGAGCCTAAAATTTTATTTTATAGTAGCTTTACGTATAATTCATGTCCCAAGCCAAGATAAAGGAGGAGGATGGTATGGTAGGCGCGTGACAGCTAACTGTATCACTCAGTGACATCACATAAATCAAAATATGAATATCGCTAGACCTAGATCGTTGCCCATAAGTGACGGGTCATCCTTCCGTCTGGGGTGGTGTCAAATATGCAAGGGCATGCTACACTTCATAGGCCCAGGTGTGATGATAAGAATGCTAAGGTTGCTAGGTCGTCGCCCAAAAACGGTGTGCCACTCAATGCTCAGGGATGGTATCAAATATGTAAGAGCGTGGTGGGGGTCGAGATGTTGTTAAAAATAGAAAGTGGGATACTAGATTGTGCTTTGACACATGGAACATTTGGTCTCTTAGGGGAAGATCATTCAAGGTAATCGAGGATATGAGGAGGAGGAGGAGGAATATTAACATTATGTGAGTGCAGGAAACTAAGTGGGTTAGAGATGCACTTTTCTTGTTTGATGAGAAATGCAATATGTTTTATTGGTTTTTGTAATCTATAATCTAGTGGTAATAACAATTATTTGTATGCAACATTACAAATTTGTATGAGTACAAAAATATTTTTATAAGAGATTCAAAGTATAAAGTTGTTAGCCGGCCCCAAAATCTTTTGGGAATAAAGCTTGGATGTTGTTGTATTCAAAGTATAAAAGTAATTGTAAAGAAATACTCCCACTGTCCCCTTTGAATTTTCTTACTTTCTTTCTTAAAACATGCAATGATGCAAATATAACCAAATGATTCACGTCTATTATGTATAAACTATAAAGTAAGAATGGTTTACTTTAACATTCATCCCATTATTTTTATGTCAAAAAAATACTTAAAGTGCATATATTTCTTTAAAAAATGAAAGAGAAAAGGGGTTTGTCCTACCCTGAGCTAGACAATAATGATCCTTCAATCATATGGCTACCCCTTGTAACTGGTGATTAGTTGGTATACTAACATACGGTCCTACGTACCTCAATGATAATCTATTGAATGGTTTGGGCTCCACACCAACACACTAATATCAGCAATTTATGCGATGATATAAGCACATTTTTTTTACATTTCTTTCTTTTTTAACAATTCGGGTGAATTACAGTTGAAGTTCAGTTGCATTTAGCCATTTAGATGCAATATATGAGAGATGTACACGTCTACACGAATTCAATTATAATAACTATTCTTAAAAGTTTAGCATGATGGTCATCATTGTATTAACTTCTAACGATTCCGATGGTGTTCCCGCATAGGATGGGCATACGATTCTTGATAGGCTAGGAGTGAGAAATACATTGCCAATAGCCAAAGGTGAAGTTGCTAGTGATGTAAACCAGAAGAGGAAATATGCAGCTCTGACTAATCAGGGATATTTCATGGAATACGAAATAAATATTAAGTGAAATGCTGATGACTATCTAAGTCAACAACATACTTGAGACATGGTGACGGGGAGTGTGGAAATAAAGCACTCTTTACATAAGCCTGCAAAACAAAACATAAGTATTAAGTATGAACTTGCAGAGAACTGCATTCTTGATGGCTACATAATCAACCGAAACCTGTAACAATACTTGAAAACTAATCTGCTACATAAGATCCAATTTCCCATATTCATTTATAATATAATCATAGAAGGTGAAAACGTCTAAATATGTTGCAAACTAAAACATATCTCAGCTAGATACTACCAGTGAGAAATAGAATCAACGGAAAGTGACAGAATATAATTCCATGAACATAACTTACCTGAGCCAAAATGTTATAAGACACGATACTGAACTTGAAACCTGACGCATGAAAACATACTTCAATCAACACCTATGGAGAGGTATCCGTCAAAATGGATTTTAAAAAGCAGAGAGCTTTAGGGAAAGTGACATGCCTTCAGGTTTGCTAATTGACGCAGATCCACTCTTTTCGGTGGGAATGAACTTGGGGCACAATGGTTCGGGTGATGTGATCATTTTGCTCAAGAAATTCGTTCTGTCATGAATTTGAAAAGAATATGATAGCTATGAAATATATGATGAATCTAAGAAGGCAGTAGTACATCACAAAGGCATATCATCACTGGCACAGTTAGGAGGCCAACCTAGACCCTAGCCACCCCAAATTTTAAAAATGACTTGATTATACTATTAGTGTAATAATTCGTGTAAAAATCCAATTTTTTGTATAATAGGCCCATGCTCTAGCTACGCCCTGCACAGCATACAACAACAATGTGTTCTTACATATCCAAGAGTTTTGCTTCTCAATATGTCCCAATGTCCATATGGATTTTATGTCTGGGCATATATAACTAGCTAATTCATGGACATAGTCAGATATGGATATTTATGTATGGACATATATAACCAGCGAATTCATGGAATTGGTCACATAGAGATACCTCGAAGATGGGCGAGAAACTGAGAAGCGAGGAAGCGAGCAGGAGGAGCTCTTCAGCATGATTTAAAATGGATCTGTGGCTGTTAGAGGAGTAAACGTGGCAAATTGGTAATAAAGAAATTTCACACAAAATAAAAAAAGAAATTTGACTTTACTGTAGAGTACACTGTTTGGCAATGTTGAGACACTGTTTGGCACTGTTGAGGCACTGTTGAGGCACTGTTTTGATGTAGATTTCTTTGCCAAAAAAAATAAGGAAGTGTGAAGTTTATTTTAGACCGTCCCAAAAAAGAAAGTGTGAAGTTTATTAAAAACCGGAGGGAGTATTTAATACTACCTATATCTATCTATCTATTTATAATACATTTGTATCTATCTATCTATTTATAATACATTTGAAAGATACAATTATGGAAAGATTTTGTCATGTGTTATCTTCTAAGAGCATCTCCAATGCTATAATGTCCACGTTGCATATGTGGCATGAGTGATAGCCACATAAATATTAGCAAATAAATTATTTCTCTCCTTATTTGAATGATTTTATACAATTTTGGTAAGTTTTTCCCTGCAATGTCATTAACAATGTCAACATCTAGACGGTCTCCTTGACAGTGTGGAGAAAAACTTACCAAAACTGTATAAAATCATTCAAATTAGGAGAGAAATAATTTATTTACTAATATTTATATGGCTATTTCTCATGTCACGCGTGCACCGTGCACATTTTACCATTGGAGATGCTCTAAGCAACATGTACTACAATATTGAGATTCTCTATCCAAATTTAGTATACTACGAGCCCGTTTGGTAGCACCAAAATCGGCTGTTTTGGCTGATTCTGCTGAAATTTATGATATTCTGGTTGGAGTGGCTGTTTTGGCTGATTCTGCTGATTTAAGAAAAAAATATTTTAAAAATATATTTTATTAATAAATTAAAGAAAAAATTATATGTAAAAATAGCTAAAATGGTCCTCTACAGTAACTTCAGCCAATACAGCCAGAAAAGTAACTTCAACCTTACTTTTTCGGCTTATTACACAATTCAGCGCGCGAAAGTAAAAGTTACGTGTTTGGTGAAAAAGCTGGCTGATAAGCCTGATAAGCCGAAAACAGAGTTCTCCAAACGGGCTCTACGTATTAATTAGTTAGTGCGTTATTCTAGGACTTAAGTTAGGATGCTTTCTTTTGGACTGTTTTCAGTCCCAGACCAGACCAGACCAGACCAGACTTAGACAGACCAGACCAGACCAGACCAGACTTAAACAGACCAGACCAGACTTAAACAGACCAGACCAGACCAGACTTCCGTAGTTGTAAAATACACAGAGACCAGACGTTTACCAGACCAGACCAGTTCAGACCAGACCAGACCAGACCAGACTTAAACAGACCAGACCAGACTTAAACAGATCAGACCAGACCAGCAAATTTCAGTCCAAAAGAAAACATCCTTAGATTAGGATTGTATTACGTTAATTTAGTAGCTACTGAAATTCATGGGACCCCAACAAAAAAACTCTTTATTTTTTAAAATTGAAATAAATTTTTCATATGTAATTCAATTTTCACGAAAAATATATCAGAATTTGTAATTTTTTATTATCTTTCATATGACACCAATATTGCATATGTAAAAATAAAAAGAATTTTGAACACATGATAGATGGAAGTTTTTAGGCTCAAAACTATTTTGGAACAGATCTAAGCTTTTTTTTGGAGAATAAAGATCTAAACTTTAAAATGAAGATCTCATTATTGTATAGCGTAATTTCATGCAATTAGAGGACATTTTAAAAATCGAGATTTTTTTGTTTGGGGAGTCCCATGAAGTGATTTTCCGTTTGAAGTCTGCCACCTTCGTTCGTGAGAAACTTGCGATGTTTTGAGAAGGTGGCCAACTCAGTTGGCGGCTTTAGTTAACTAGAGTTAGCGGTATTTTTGGAAATATTTTAAAATCAGTTCTAATTTTGTACATATATTTTTATCTAGCATAATTATGGGAAAAAAATCACTAGAAAGTGATGAGAAGCACTTTTAGTAAAAGAAAATTAAACAGGGTAAATTTGTCCTACATGAGTTAGGTTTAGTAATTGTACGGAGGGGTGCATAAAGAAAGTTATGTTTTTATATTTATAAAAAGATAAGATGTGTTTAACTACTCCAAGTCATCAACTTCTCAATGAGATTCTTGAGTTAGAATAGAATTGCCTAGCTATAGATATGATACTCATTTTCTAATTTTTAAGTTTCACCCACACAACTGTAATGATATCGCTATACTTGAAAACTCGAATGTTCATAAATGATCATATGGATCATACTATATACTTCATCCGTTCTTTTTTAATTGTAATGGTCTATCTTTCACGTTTGCCAACACACAAGTTTGACCATTAATATCTTTCATTCCTTATTAGTAGAAAATTTAAAAAAAAAATAGAATTTGAAATTTTAAAATGTGAGGAACTTAACAATATTTTTTAACTTTAATTTATAATACATTAATAAATTAATAAATAAAATATAGTCAAAATAGAACATGTGAATAGTGTAAAAAGCCCAATGTTGCATTTAAAAGAGAACACGAGTATTACTATCTATAGGTCTATAATTGAGAAAATAGGTTTACAAGTATAAATTTTCTGGTAACATATCAATAATATAGACATTGCTCATACTCAATTATCTTAATTAGAAATATAGGGTATATAATGTCATATTTTAGTCCATACATATGCATCCTTCATATCAAATATCTAAAAAATGAAACAAATATTACTCACCCTCAAACATGGAATGCCCGAACATGTATTTCAACATAAATCTTTGATATTTTCTTAGTATATATTCGGGTATCGACTTTCTCAAAAGGCAATAATCTGTAGAATTATTGGATAATATCACATCCTAATTAATAGATCTTAATCTCACGTGAAGATATAATTGATGTATGTTAAAACAATACCATTACAACCCGAACTATTGTATTTATATATCCATGGACTAGCGATTGATGACCACACGACGTAAAACCTAAAACTAAATTACAAACACCTCGAAGATATTCATTCTATGTGCAATGGTGAACCCTCAAAATTTGACATATCCCTTTAAATAAGGGTGTGAAGATTCTAATTTTATTTCAATATAAGAATGTGTAAATGAAATGATAAATTTCAAAGCAATTAAAATGGAAAGGAAAGCAAAAAATACTCAATAATAAGATGGAAGGGTTGTGGTAAATTGAGTGATTGAAAAGAATTAGTACTCTCTAATGACATAGAAGGTGAAATGAGAGGATGGCACAAATAGTCATATGAGTAGGAAAAAAATCATCCTTTAAAAATTGTTTAACTCAATCTATAACTACAAGTACTAAACTTGAATGAAAGTGGAATATATGAGAACAAAAATCCTTTAAGCACCCTAAAATCATTTCAATAATTTTTTTCAATCTTTTTAATAACTTCGAAATCATTTCTAAGAGTGGAAAAAAGAGGGAAACATCATAATATGAAAGTGGAAAAAATTAAAATAGCAAGGCTGCATGTGTTAAAATTGACTAAATGTACATTATTTATCTTAATGTTATCTCAAACTTATGTTCACCTTTCTAATTAAGAACATTTTCAATTCGAATCATTTTTATCTCATTTATGAATGTAATGTTATTTTTTACTTTAGTGTATATATTAATAAAATTTTGATATATTTTGGCCGAGAGTCCCGCTCTCAGAAAGATAACAATCATATCCTGACACTAAAAGTGTTTTTAAGAGCTAGGTAAATAAGTTAGACTGTGTATAAAAGTAATTCTTTTACTCATGGGTGTAACTTTAATATAGTAATATTTGGTCATGAAAATTGAGATCATTTTTCATTTCTGAATATGGGACATGTTTTTTTCATTGCATAGTTTGACATGTTTACGTTTCGATTATAACTACCCCTTGATGTGATGATAATTTTTTCATAGGTTTTATTCATCTGGCATTTTAGGTAAAAGTTGTCTATATAAAACACTTATTTTACTTAATAAGATCATATTACCCTCAATAATTCAACGGCTCAACCTAATGAAAATAAATCGATTTCTATCAATCACAATAGGCAACCTATTATCGCCGCCATCATCTTAATTAAAATTAGAATGTCACAAAATTATATATTTTAAACTCTTTTCTTTAAAAAATAAATCTTAAAAAATTGACCACCCATTTTTTAGATAAATAGATTACAAAAATGTGTAGTTAGTTTTGAAAAAAAATAGTTACACACGAATGAAATTTAATGGATAAAAGTAGGCATCGAGCATTCTTTTTTATTTAGGTAAAGATAGTTGACAAGATTAGTTTCATTTGGATGTAAATGAAGTTATAAAAAATTCTCGGGAAAACTGTCAAATAGGTCCTCGAACTTTCATAAAAAAAGTCAATTAAGTCCTTCTATAGGAGACTTTGTCCGGCCGTCGCGATTTGGGGCAGTTCCCGGTGGAAGTTTTTGATGAAATTTTTCGAGCATCTTATTCATCAAGTCTAGTTTATTCATACCAAATTTGAGCTAAAAATTCAATCGGGAACACATTCAAATTAATTCATGAAGATAACTGCGCATTTTTGCGTTCTCAGTTGAATTTTTAGCTGAAATTTGGTATGAGTAAACTAGACTTGATGAATTGGATGCTCAAAAAATTTCATCAAAAAATTCCACCGGGAACCGCCCCAAATCGCGACGGCCGGACAGGGTCTTCTATAGAAGGACTTAATTGACCTTTTTATCATAGTTCGAGGACCTATTTGACAGTTTTCCCAAAATTCTCTTTTCATTGAAAAATATAGACTGGAAAATGTTTACATAATTAGTACAAAAATAAGATACTACTAATAAATTGTCATTTAATGGTATTTTATAACAATAGTCATGATAGGATAAAAAAATAACAATAGTCAATTACCATTGATATACGAGACTTATACTTACTATACAACATGTCAACATGCATTACAAATCAATGTTATAATCAACTAAATAAGTGATTTTCGTTAATATATAACCAAAAAAGCAAAATCATTTTA